ATGCTTAAAGTATTGAGCTCTGAACATACGCTCTGAACATTCAAAATTTTATAAAATTATTAATTTTTATTTGATGTAATCTTTCAGGTGTCTCGAGCAGTGCGCCAACGCGCAAAAAGGTTGCGCCACAAAAAATGCGCAATCATATCATCCGCATTAGATTTTCCGCCGGTCGTTAAGTTTCTCAATTTTCCCTCTCGTGTGAACCTGAATCGTGATTACATTTCATAAAGTAGAGTTCGTGCTTCGTTATTAAGTAAAATTCGATATCGTGCGACATCTGTGCGAAGCGATCTAACGTGATTATATAAACTGCTCGCAAAATTAATTTTACGATCATCGAATAATTTTCAGGTTTTAATTTTTTACTTAGAGTTAGAGTTTCCTAACGCGAGACATAATAGAAACAATGCTAGCGAGCGTTAATCCTTTGCGAAAAACGCGATGTACTCAAGTCAAACCTGTGATTAGTTATTTGTTTACTTACACGGCGCGCGACAAGTTCCATCAAACGAAGACAGTCTCACGCGTTAAAATTTTTTTCGCTTGCATTTTGAATAAAATCTTTATCGTCACAATTTTCATAGTTTTTGATTTTTCATTTACGCTCGCGTTCGCGATGATTAATTCGATAGGTTTGCGAATTTCACCCGGTCATATTTGCCAATGAGTCGCGAGCTAACTTCGCAGAAATATTGCGGAGTTATTATCCGCAAAAGTATTGCGGAATTGTCTTCGCAAAAATATTGCGGAATTGTCTTCACAAAAGTATTGCGGAGCTATTATTCGCAAAAATTGCGGAGCTGTATTGCAGCCTACTACGCTGTTCCATCGAAACGTTACATTAGGGATGTTCCGTGTCGTACGTGAGAATCTCGCACAGATTACTTCGCCCACACGTCGAAAGATTTCGTAAGATCGGCTTTCGATTCACGTCGCGTGGTCGGGAGCGGTGCACTTGGACACGGTGCATTTGGACACAGCCAATCACAGCACCGTGTGATTAGAGACATTTGTAGGGTACCTTGGAACAGCGACTTGTGATTGGACTGTGTCCAATTGCCCCATGTCCAACTGATATACACCCGCGTGGTCCCTTCGCTCGCGTATTCCGTTTTCTTCGTAAGCAATTCGCGTCGTGCGTGTATCAAAGCGATACACTACAATCGATCGGACCGTTGCTGAATTCGTCGCAAATATTCGTTGTTTATCCGAAAGGCCAACATTTTCTCGAAGACGCAGTTCGCGATAGTTCATACGCAATTTGCAACTCGAAGTGTATCTCCCAAGAGAGACGGGATTTTTCGTGAAACTTCCGTTAAATTACCGCGGTCGGGAGTGAATTACAGACGACATGGGACGCGAGGATCATTGTAGTGTCAGATGCAGCGG